GTCAAGGGTAAAAAGTCCGCCAGGCGATCAATCACGATGTTGAAGAGTCTCCTCTATTTCCAAAACCATCTAAGTTCTGCCAACCAAGAGTGTCTGGGGTTTGAACCTTTTCAGTCCAGCCCATGTTTTATTGAATTGCATCCAGCGCAAAACCCAATACATGTTCACTTTATTACGGAGCACGATCTCTGGCCAGTACTCAAATCTCAATTAAATAATTGCAGTCTTTCCTATTTGAAGTGTTCATTCTACAGCTTGGCGGAATATCAAGTAAGTGAGAGCTTCAAGCACGTGACCTGTTTTGTGTTGTGCCTTGGTGCTATCCGGATCTGTATTAAATATCTCATGTGATTTCAGTTTGCTCCAAAAAGTCTATGTTTTTTACCGATGCATGCATTTCGCGACAATACTTGCATTCACTGAAAGCGTTCAATCGGGTTAGGATACTGTTCACTTCAACCCATGGGTACAGTAAGACCGTGTTTGCTTCTCTTTGGACACTTTGGTCTTCATCATCATTGACAGCATGACATCAGTGTTCAGCACCCATGCTTCGCTGCCCTACAACCATGATTTAATTCAAAGCCTTATTGTGAAGAAAATAATAAAGGTGGATGGGGAAGGGACTTAGTGCTGGCTTGCTACAATCATTCTGAGGTACCTACAACTCCAGGCACTCATTCAGACAATCTGGACAGAAACTGAAAACAAGAACGCCACTGCTATCGGTTAGAAGCCGTATCTTGCAGCGTTACCAGTCAGGCGCGGCTCCCATAATGGAAGGTGAGTAGCACCGACAGCACAAAAATGTTTTATGATTTCTTTGATACCCTTCAGTTAGGTTAAGGGTTGGCCATGTCTCTGATTCCGCCACTCTGAGTTTGGCATGGAAAACAGCACTCCCTTCGGCAAACGATGGCTAGGCATGCGCAACACATGTTTCAACCAACCCAGCTTCCAGCGATGGACTCGTTCTTCAATGGAAGCACCCGTCGCACAACCGAAAACGCGCTTTCTAACTGCCTCGTTACGGATTCGCCGACACCAACCCACACGAACTACGGTTCTGAGACAACGATTTGAGAACATCTGAAGACGTCTCAGTTCCGCTACCCAAACAGGCCAAGTCTCACAGCCATACGACAAAAACAGCCCACACTGTAGCTTGATACAAACGTTTCTTGAGATTCAAGGATACACTACTTTGATGCCATATGTGTCTCAAATTAGCGAACTTGACCCGAGCCTTGTGGTTTCGTGCATTTACCTTATCTGTCACACTACAATCAGAACTAATACAACTTCCAAGATACGTAAAACGCTCCCCAACTTCGAGTGCTTCCACCTGGGTTGTAAGTGGCGTGTTCAGTGGCTGCGTGTCCAGGAGTATGACCTTACACTTTGAGGGTGCAAAGTGCATACCGAAGGACAGCATGACTTTGGTCACTTCATCCAAGAACACTTGCGCCTTCCCCTCTTCGAACATGAGAGCGATGTCGTTTGCATTTTCCAGATCCACAAGATTTTCGTCACAGGCTATTTGGACACCGGGGTTTAGGAAACCTTCTAGCGTTCGTCTCATGATTCCACTGATCACTAGGTTGAACAGAAATCGGGGGAGTGAGCATCCCCTACGGACACCATTTTGTGTACGGAAGTTTTTGGAGAGCTCTCCGTATACTCTCACACGTCCGGAAGTCTGGAAATACAAAGAGCTTAATAAGTTCAGCAACTTATGGGGCATTCCTTGGTGGGCAAGCGTTTCAAGCAGAACAGACCAGTCAACCGATTAAAAAGCGCCTCAAAAATCCAGGTATACGAGAATTGTGGGTCACTTATACGTATGACGTTGTTCTGGTACCTAAGAAGTGCGAAGATTTAGTCAACGCGATCCCTCCCAGGCCGGAGTTCCGCTTGCTGCTCTTGAGTTAGTGTCCCACAAGCGACGCACAAATGCCGCCTACAGTTTCCTTACGACCGTGGTCAAGCCGATTCCCCTGTGGTTACCACACTCACTACGCGCCCCTTTATTGAAAATGCGTTTATCACCGACTCTCCCCAGTTGTCAGGGACAGACTCCCTTTCCCAACTGCAAGCAAACAGATCAGACAAGCGCTGAGTGAGAACTTCACTTCCGTCTTTGAACAATGTGTGTAGGGGTCTTCCGACCAGGAGCTCGGTGGCTTTAGCAGTTTCGCCAACAAGGCGCTGGAAACTGCATTTCGGATAAATTATTGGTGTCAATAGCTGCATTTCCTAACCATGAGTACAATTTGTGGGTAAAGTGATTGAACTAACGATGTTTACTTGACAAAGAAGCAATGATAACCATGGTTGCGTGGAGGACACTTCCTATCAAGAACTAATAACCCTTGGCCATCACGAAGGAACAAGATACAGTCATAATGGCTGGAGATCTCGACCCAAAAGTTGAGCTCAGTTGATCACCGGAGGGCCCATTATGTGATGCGCCTAGTCTAGCCGCCGAAAGCAAAAATGCCGGCAAGCGCCTTGCAAAAGTTTATTGTCTCCCATTTGTTTCTCAGTAGTACTGATCTTAGACTCAATGATTGCCGTTTTGTTACCTGGCGTCGGGGCTGAAAAACCACGTAGACAAGTTGAGGGCACTGTCATCAGCTACTAATGACGGGGTCGGTTATTCTAGTATGGTCTTGTGCAGTGTAGATTTTCATTAAATTTACTAGAACTTACGACTGAATACTGCACCTTTAAAAAATGAGCTCAATCCAAACTCGATTTACACACTCATCTGCAAACAAATTTGGCTTTGATGGGAGACTCACCTAGATCCCATCTAAATCTCTCCTTCTCAATCTCAGTTGCATGCACTAGCCATCTTGCGATAACAAACGTATCTAGCTTTTCCGGTGCCAATTTCATCTAATTGGCTGTCAAAGATTGGAAATTGCCTCTGATCACTTTGTGAAAACGGGAGTTTTTATGACATTTCGCAAGGCTGAACTTATGCCATGCTGAGCCATTTCTACTGGAAACAATTTCACTTGTTCACGGTTCTTTTGTAAGGGGATATCTTGCCCCTGTCTTCCCGTAGTGCTTTCTATTTCCAATGATCACGGTAACACATGAAATGTTCTTCATTAGGCACGTTAACTCTCTGTTCATGGTCCAAATCCTTCCGCCAACTGAAGAATAGCATTGGGTCTATCGCCGGAATAATTGTCTCAACATCATCAAGTGGATAAGTCGGAGGGCTTCACCCCATAAGTAAAGCCAAAGTGGAAGAAGGCAGTCTAACTACTTCGAATAAATGCATGTGTGCAGCCAGCAAAATTCTGGAGCTTAACATAGTATCTTTATCACTGAGATAAAGCATTCCAGTTTACAGCTTCCTTCTACAAGAGGTTGACTGCAGTGGTAAGGATAGCCATCGTGGACCACACTTCCATATAACGACTGATCGTGTCAGCAGTCTTACAGAAATTTTTGCACCAGAAAAAACAAATAATGATTGTACTGGCAGCTTTGTTCCCACCGTATTGTTATGGTGAATTGTGCGTGCCCCCAAGTTAGTTTTAGTACCGCACAAGTGTGTGTTCAGGCTCTAATCAAATAAACGGATGTTAGAAGTGGTAAAATGTTTAAACCTTTTCCTGAAAGGTGCGCCGGTAAAAGTGGTTGGACAGGTGACCTGAAAACCCTCGCTCGATGTAAGCTGATGTTAGAATAGGTTATCGTTGAAGGGTACAATTTATCAAATTGCCTGAAAACTCCTGAGATACGTAAGTTGATATCGTGTAATCTCGACTTCTATCCAGTACAACACGCTACTATGACATGTGATGAAATCATAATATTTCGGAATTCCCACTGGGTAATGGCTACGCAAGGACAACAAAGGCTGCTTAATATTTTGAGACATACAGTTTGGAATCTGTAAATGTTGCTGCAAGCGTCACGGTGCCAGCTGATCTGCAGTCATTAAAGAGGAGCGCCATGTTATTTCAGTCATTTCAGCGCACCATTCGAATAAAGGTATCATGTATTCCTGGGTCAGACGGTGCAGGGATCCTGGCCTAAATGGATACCCGTTGATGGTCGCCTCAGCAAAGTTCGTCTGGCAACTTCTGTGGAGGAATGCTAAACAGATAAGAGATGCTCAGAAAGCCGGGAGTACCTGAAGGTTATTTCAGTTAATCCATGCCACTGGTCTCAAAAACCATCTGTAGGCGACGCCATCAGTGACTGGGAGAGGGAGACCATTTCGAATAAAGAAAAAAGCATCAAATGGTTGGCCAAATACTTCAAACCACAATAATCGTGGTCACCAGCTGCCAGTTATTTGGAGCCCACTGCTGACTCAGAACCCTGGAACTTTTTACAATCTCGGCGTTTTCCGACTGCCTATATTCTCTCAAACACCTCCGAGCTCCCGGTCCTGATGACCTCGCATCCACTTTGATGAAGGTTGTGGATGTGGACTTCAGTAAGCGCGTTCGACGTATCTTGGTAGTTGTATTAGTTCCCACTGTAAGACCCGGGTCGCGTTTACCAATCTGGGACACCCGTGGCGTCAAAGAGTTATATCCCTGAATCTCAAGGGATGTGTCAGACTGACTACAATGCGGGTGTTTTGTGTGGTTGTGAGACCTGGCCTGTTCGAGCAGCGGAACTGACAGGTCTTCAGGCATTCGACAGTTTTTGTCTCAGAACCATAGTTCTTGTGGGATGCTGTCGAGGAATTCGTACTGAGACAACTAGGAAGCGATATTTTATTTGTGCAGCGGGGAATCGCGTTTATATATGTGTTCATCACCAGAAGTTGCTTTGGTTGGGCCATGTATTGCACTCGCTGTACCATTTTACGCCAAAGAGAGTGCTCTTTTCCGTGCCCAATCCGAAGTGGCGGGAACAGAGGAGCAGTCAACAGCTGAACTTGCAGACGGGCATCAAAGAGATCAAAAATCGTCTGCGTGGTGTCAGTGCGACCCGTCTTCTAGGATGAAAACCGGGAGACCCCAATGCGCTGGTTTGGAAACACTGCAAGATGCGGTTGCCAACCTATTTCAGTGGCGTTCTTGTTTTCAGTTTCTATTTAGGTAGCCTGAATGAGTGTCTGTCGTTTTAAGCACCTCAAAATGATTATGTTAAGCTCGCATTATTTCCCTTTTCAAACCGTTTAATCCTTTTTTCAAAATAAGGAAAAAGCGTCAGGGTTGAGCAGTGATGTCATGTTGCTGCTGATGATGAATGGAGACGTAGCGGCCGGTTAAATGTTTTTCTACGAAATCCTTCTTATCCTATCATTTCCAAAATCTATTGAGTTTTGTTACTTGTAAGTATGGATAATCTCTGGCGATTTAACCAGACACATAGACGAATAATAAAACATTTTGTTGAATTCGTAGTTTCCATCACTTCAGTGGATACGGTTAAACGCAACTGTAGCCTAGCCCAATAATCACACTGCTTCTCGCTTAGTGTTGTTGCAAACAAATAATGCTGTCTCCCTCGTTTGCAAAAGAAACATACCAAGAAAATTTAGCAAACCAAGATATCAGGCCAACATCTGTACATTAAACTTCAACGACTGACACTTTACCATAACAGTATTATGTTAAATTGATTTACACATAAAATCCTTTTAGAGGGTGTTTTGTTTTTCCAACTTGCGCACAGTGGTTCGCAGACCGAATTCCAAACATACATCATGCGGGATCAGCTGGAATTGCAAAGCTCTGGGCTCCTTATATTCTCCCACACTGGGTGATCAAAGTAAGTGGGAATGGATTGTTGGATGCGTTTAAAGAGCTTCGTTTTTTTTCCTGAACGTTTTCAGTCTGGCATTCCCACGGCCAGACTTATTTCGCCTAATTTAATTCATACAGATTTCTAAAATGGCAATTAGTGCAGCAGCGCCAGTGGCGTTTGATGAAGGTTGCCATTCGGTAACTACCGAACAAACCTACTTCTCAAGGAACTATTGCCTTTTTAACAGGTGTTGCTTTGTCAATTTCAGACAATCGTTGTAGACACAGATATTCTGTGGAATGAAAATGTGGGAACGTTGTGGAAATTTTTTGATCAATTTACCTCGACACAGGTAAGGTCTGCCCTGTTGAATTTCAGTGCTATACTCAGAAGTACACTGTACGCTATTCGAGGTTGGGTAGTCATTGCTTGACGACGTTCTAGCTGGAGTAGAAGAATAGACTTGAACGATGAGAGAATGAATCGGTTAACAACCGACGGACCTAAATCTCATTATTTATCTGAATTCCGCTAAAGAATAAGTAATGTTTGGACACTGGTATTTAGGCATCTTTTTACTTGACAAGTTTTGGTTCAAAAAGGCATCAACCGCATAAGCTTTTGTGCTCGGTCGATGAAAAATGGGCTCGGATTGGATCAATTTTTAAGTGGCACACTTCAGGATTATCATTTGACGCCTGCATCCGAGCTATCAGAATTTTTGGATGGTCCACTAAAAATGCATTTCACAGGCCTGTCCGCATCTCATTTGTGAAAAAAATGCATTTTTAAATCAGAAAGCGATTTCCGCAGACTGGATAGGATAAAATGTTATGGTGGTTCCCAACGGTCCCCAACATGTAGCCGGCCAATCAGCCATCCGTTTCTTTAGGGAATGTGAAAATATTTTTCGTAAGAGAATTCTCAATCAAAATTGGTAGGAAACAACAAAAGGACTAGCACAGCGTTGATTTGTATTGATTTTAAGCATGCTTAAATCTGTGCCGTTATCTGGAGTAACATTATCCCATTAAGACCAACTTCAAAATGACAAGCCATGCTAAGCTTTGGTATCCTGGAAGATGTCATCAGTTTCACTTACAACGAGATATACGGATACTTTATGGGTCTGTTAATACTTCCTTTATATTCTATGTGATGCTTTAATTACAAGGAATATCTACTAAGAACTTTAGTTTTTATTTCTAGTGAATTCATCCAGATCCTTCTGAAAGATCACTAGGAACGCACGAATAAGGAGTTTTAGTCAAACAAAAGTTTCTTCAATGTCATGATTTAGAAAGTGAAGGTATAAATAGTCAATAAACTAATGAAGTGACCGTAAAAGTAACCAAAAAATCCAAAAGATATGCCATTGATTGTTTCTACTAGAATCTTGCGCTCATGGTCTTGAGTTGGATATCACTTTGACCAAACTGAGTGTTCTTTGCGCATTGATGCATCAGCGATTATGTACCTAAGCCCTTTACTCATCAGTAATTTACGTGACAGCAGTTAGAATACAGACGGAAGTGTTTATAGGTTTTCTGTACTCTGATCCATCCAGACAGAGCTTTTAGTGAAAGGTCAATCATGTATCACGAAGGTACGGATGCATCAAGTGGGCCAATGTGCCCTTCAATAAGGGCACAAGGTTCTTAAACCAGAGAATAGGTGCGACGAGAAATAGTTGGCATGGGTAGTTAAAAAAGTGAAGAAAAGTAAAGAAACGTAATATCTCCTTAACTACGTTCATTCGGCTTCGTAGCAAAAGTCCATCATCATTTAGATGACTACAATGCCACATTGCTACGACTATATCGTTGCACATACGATTGCGATAGGCTAATAAACTGATTATAGTCATCAGGCGCACCTACAATCAACCCAAAACGATACGACTACGGTACCACTAAAGGACTTGCTAATCCCTTGTTGGACTAAGTTAGCAAATTTTGAATATCCTGGACATTCGTCTGAAACCTAACCACCAGCTTATCTGTCACGAGCGCATTTTCTGACAAGCCGACTAGCCTTCCAACGCCAATCTTACTAGTTTTCAATCACGCAAGGTGTTTGCACATCGTACCCCCTGCTCCCTTAATTCCCAAAGCCTCTCGTGCTAATTTTCAATTTTTCTCCGTGTTACAAACACTGGTGGAAATCAGTGACTGATTGTGCATTTGGCCAACTGCGTAAGTCAGCAGTACATTGACACTTGCAAGGTTTCATCTGCTGAAATTTGCCGAACTTGTTTTAGGGTAGACTGAAAGTTTGGAAGTTCAAACTGTCTGGTGTAAAAAGGAAGTAACAGGCTTCAGTGGGATGGTCATGGTGTTTGTGAGTTGGTGAACTGCTTCTCGGATATCCGCTTTCCGATTTTTGAGGTGATGGTCGACACTATCTGTACGTAAGATACAGCTTGAAGAGCATGTGAACGACAAACATCGGAGTGTCTTGGATCCATAAGTTGTCACTCAGGTCGCTGGTGAGCATCATAACCCACTGAAATGGTAGCTGCAAAGTACGTGTTGGAATTCCTCTCAATCGAACCTTCCAGTCAACGTGCGGCGTAGTAAGCAGGGTCACACTGAATGCAAGAGTAAGCTTTTGCAAACTGTGGGAGATCCTGTTTTGGCTACGAAACTTTGCACATGTCTAATATAAAACATGTAGGATGTGAGGTACGTTGCAGAAAACAAAGGGTATGTCTCGGTTGATCGCCGACTACTTCGGACAAAATACCTATATGACAGTTTGCAATTTCGCTAGGTACTTCACACATTTTTCTCAGATTACTCTTACTTTTTGTCTATCGGCCACATCAGAAATTCAAAGTGTCTATACCCGCTGTAATCACACGCAACTTTCAGGAATAGAGTTATATAATTAGGTTGCTCAAGACGGTACAGAACAATAAATTAACCAGCATTAGAAAAATGAAAGTCAGTGCAAATTTAATGAACTTTTTGGTTCACTTCTGAAAACGTCGACCATACTGGATCCAGGCGGAAAGCCTATGCATTGTGGATAAGTAATAAAAAGGGGTGAGACACTGGGATTGTTCAAAAGGATTATTTGGCTGACAAGGTTGATGGGAATGATATAACCCACTCAAATAAAAATCAATACACTTGGTTTTTCTCAGCTTCTTGAGTGCAATGGGCCACTCGAAACTGCATATCTGGTTTTATCAGTATAGCTTCATGCGTAATGCTTTGGATAGTCGAACTGATCTGATGCGAATTCGATCACCCGTTCTAAAAGATGAGCGAGTTCCATTTGGAAACGTCAGGTGCTAGAGCTAACGTTCGTTATCATTCAAATGAAAACAGATGGGAAATTTGATAACATGCACCAAACTTATTCGTGCTAGCCAACTGCGCCGTTGTTGGTTAATTCAAGTAGTATTATCGAACTGTGAAAAAATTAAGATGACACCTGGTAGCCGGAGGTAGAACTTCCATTTCTTCTTCCAAAAACGGCTTTAGGCAGGCCTATGTAAGTTTATAAGCAATCACTTGAAACAGAGAAATTAGACAAATTACGTAGCGGCTCTTTGAAATTAAGCTGTTCAGGGAAACAAATCAGTGCTAATTGAGTTCGGAGTCGGTTCAGAATAGCCGAAATAAAGTTAAATTCCTTGTGAGTGAGACCAATCAAAAATATTATCTTCCTGATCAGCGCAAAGGTTTCCGTTTAGAATGCAACTCACCAGTAGTGGGAAACAATAGTAATGAATAACACTGTCATTAAGTAGAGGGGAGAGAGCCAATAAGCTATAATTTCATGTGCAATTGCATGTAATGTACCACTCGTATTGAGCAGCTCACAGTAAGCCATACGGCCGAATATTCCAGTAGCTTCCAAACACTGATACTGTTGTGTCAAAGTCGTAGAGTTACTGCATGAACTATAGAGTGCATCCGAACCGCGGCAGAATTTGCTAGAGTTTCGTGAAAATACTGCATGTCTTAGATTAGATCTCATCGAACTCAGCATATCCTGGCATTCTTTAATTTAGGACCTACTGGCGTTTACTGTACACTACAACCTTCAGCAAGCATTGCACCTAATGCTACATGATACATTTAAATGTTGGTGGTTCCCTTTGTTGAGGAGGTAAATGAGTGTATGCAAAAACGCACCGTGTTTTCCAGATGCTTGGAATGGCTTGGGAACAGCAAACCCAAGACGCGCGTTGCCGCGGGAGTTCTAAAATTCTCTTTCCAGTAAGTTTTGTAGACTGTATCACATGACACAACTCCTGAGTTTTATTGTTATTCTATGAAATTTTGGGTGGTTTTACGATATAATTTACATGAAAGGTTGATTCGTAAATAGGTGATTACCCCACTTGATAATGGGTTTGTGAAGGACGGGTTCACTCCAACAAGCAGTGTTTGAGGTCTACCTTCACAGTCTAGCTAAGAGTGAGTTTTCACTTGCAAACAGATCACTCCTAATATTGAGACCTTCTATATTGACCTTTGGTTGTATTTTCCTATGTCAGTATGTACTTTTTGATAAGACGTCGTTATAATCTTAACAGACGGTATTCAATGACATATCTTGAAAAGACACGAAAATTCTGTTTTGCCCAACGGCAGCGACGAATTTTTGTTACATGCAGTACTGATGAGTTCAGCTCACGACATGGATTTAATTGTTTTGCCTGACTTTAAAAAAATCAATATAATAGGAAATTCACCTACTCTTCTCTGTAAGGCAGACTAATTAAATTTCTGCTTGCAAGTAAATTGTGCCGATCTCGATCACTTCTTGATCCTAGTGACTGACGATTAGACGAAACACCGTGATTATTCAGACAAAGTTGAATGAGTCATTACTTCGTTGGATGAAATTAAGATAAACATTCGAAAAACGAAAGAAATCCATTGGTTAGTGAGTTAAACCTGAAGTCACAGGAAGCTGCTGAATAGAATAAGAGTGAGCAAACATGAACATGGACGGACTTGCAATATTTTCCGTTTCACCACGCTTCCTGGTGCAACGCTCAACCAAGTGCGACTGCACAGACGTCTTCCTTAAACCTCAACCAACAGTAGCCCAGGACATACTGACATGAATTAGAACATCTGAATTAGAACATCGACTGTTTCAACATTAATTCATGTACTTTTTCACCGGATCCATCAAATAGAATCATGTAGTGATTTGGCATTACACAAATTGTCAACGATTCTGAACGAAGGTAACAATCGTTCGAATTGGACTCTTGCTTAGATGTATCCACCAGAAAGTAGAAAAACTAAAATTACAGTAGCCCGGACTTCGTGGCGAGAGCATAACGCTCAAAATCTAAGTCCTGAAAAGTGTTTTTACTGTGAATAGCAAGACACATTATTACAAACCAACTGCCTGAGCTATATATTGAACGATGGATGAAAACATGGAGCTTACGTTGCAGTAGTGAGTTATCGGTCCAGCGGAGGGAAAAAATGTCTGCACCCCGCCGTTAATGCAGAAATTCAAACCCGTTCAAGGCCCTCCTTATGGGGAATTATTATTATTATTATTATTATTATTATTATTATTATTATTATTAAAAACTTATTTTCCCACCGTTTGCAAGCGCTATTCGAAAAGTGAATAGGGTCATACGATTTGGATACAAAGACCTATGGGAGAGAATTACCTTGATGATAATGATGACGACCGGAGAAAGATATTTTCTCAAACGCAATAAAACTGTCCAGAGTTGTTGACCTAGCACCACAAACTAAAGTGGTCTGACTAATTTGTGGCTCCCAGAAGTCCTTCGATCTCGGTTGGTTCATCAAGACAGTTCTTCACTTCACACCAAGTCACATGGGTTGTAAATCTCAATGCAGCATCACTTAGCTGTTCAAATAACACAGAAAAGTAATTTTCCTGAACTTTTTTTAACTGCATCTGGCTTGCTGACTGCTTTGATCAGTTGCATATTGTCTGTCAGCTAAAGATATTGGACTTGATTTTGTCAGTGGGCATGTGTGTCACTAAAGTTCTTCGTTTATTTTGGTTCCAACCTTTTCCCGCACGTTTTCAAAAGCTTAGTCTTGATGGCTTTGAGGTGCTTTAGTGTGTGGTTTTTTGTTGGGTCTTTAACTGTTTTGATAAACACCAAACAATCCTCTTGAATCAAAGTCGATGTCCATAGGTTGTTCATGTCTCGAAATTCCCGCTCTCGTGCTTGTTTAAATCCAAATTTATGCACAGCTTTGGCAGCTCTGGCACTTAGACATCTCCTTGCCTTGCGTTAGAGCTTTGCGAAACCTCGATGTAGTTTCCTTGTTCCCCCGTTTGCCTGCATCCAACTCAAATGAGCTAACATATGATCCACGACTCAGCTATTTTCCAGGAGCGAAACGCAGTTTGGCGTGCAACAGAACGTTTTCCGGATTGTGCTAATCTCTGAGCATCCCTTTTTGTGCTCTGTACTTTACGGCAGCCTCTGCGACTAGGCTACTTGGATGCAATTAAGTGGCTAACGACATCTGTCCAAATTGAGATACTTGGTCATCAGTGGAAGTCCTAGTGTGACACAAAGCGTAAGTGTGGTTTACACATCAGATTACAGTTGGAACAGAAATTGTTTCGAGTGCCTTTATCCAACCAAGCTATGAGATGGGGTAGTTTGAAACTTCGGATTTGACCAGGTCATTCTTATCACAGTATGACGCTTTCAAATGTGCTGAAAACACTCTACGGCCAATAGCTTATCCTTATAAAGGAGAAGTGTGTCATCGACGTGGCAAGTCGTCTTGAGACCATTGCCGGTCAGCAGGGTCCCACTTAACATGTGGATTTACTCACCTTCAAACCACAGAATCCGTATCAATTGCCTGCCACCTCGATTGGATGCCCCTCATCATTTCAATTATCCGATTGTCTGTATTGCTGCCTTCAGCAGTTTGCAAATGTTTATCACACTCATGTTGCAGCGAACAGTATGAATCGTCCTGTCATACGTTTTCCCATAGTGCTAATACTCGCTACTCTTCTTCTTACCGACCCACTTTGAACTTTCTAGTATGTTTTCCCTTTGAAAAGTAAATTACAGCCCGTTTAGTCCACAGGCTCCTCCAAGCACTGAACTCTGACCATCAAAATAGGTAACCTGTTTTGATCGGTATGTATGTATGTATGTATATTTAAGTACGCCGACAATATTGTTTGTTTAAGTAACAACACGTTTTAACTAAATTCACTTCAGGTCACTGGTGTTAACTCAGGCCTCGTTTTAATGCACCTTTCGAGGATGCGAGCTGCGAACTGGGGCCTAATAACCGAGCAGCACATTGTTTCGTCTTTGGCAGTCAGAAAATACTTAAGCCAAGCCGACCAGGTGAGTTTGTGGGTCTGTCAAAATACCTTTAGCTATTAAGGTTCATACCAACTAAAAACAAAACAAGTCGATAGCCACACAAATTTTGGAAGGTTGTCCTCCATGCCCTCATACCATAATTTTGGAAGTTTAAGTAATCCTTGTAAGACGTTGTGCTACTACCTGATGGGATGGACTATCTTTGATCACCACGTGATGGTCATCACTGAAACGTTTTAGTGAAATTACTGTCACTTAATCAACGAAACTTGAAAGACGTGAATAACAAAACCACAGATGTGTCCATTGTTAAAGATTGCTTTCAAAATATTCCCGGTCACTTAAGCCCCTAAACTAGGTCAGTTTTTTATGGGGGAAGGATAAATTGGCTGATGCTTATCCGTACCCGGAGAAAATCACCTCTTCGGCCATTTTTGGAGCTTGCTTTTTTATGTACGTTGCTTACTGATCGTTTCCATGTTCTCCTTAAATGGAAGTAGGTTGAGGTTTGTAATTTGTTCACTTACTAGTTTACCACTCAGCAGCAATGGGCCAAAGTTTAGGTTACAGACCTAAGCTATTGCGTTGTATTTTTGAAGTGCTCATCATCCCACTAGCTCTCTGTAATGCTGGCTTACGAATGTGTGCATCATCCTATATACTAACCAGTACAGCCAGTTGACGAGAGAAGACGCGTTGGAATTACGTCCGTACTATCTATCAGCCCGAACGTCTGGCACACTATGGAAATGATGAAGCTGGTTCAACCTGAAGCATGAATAAATGAAGAATAATGTCGGACTAGAAAGATCTCGTCTTTTATGATGGAAAAACGAACAGATAACTCGGCCTGTCAGTCAGCCGCATGGTAGAGTACATTCTCACCAAGCGTAACACACTAACTAGCAAAATCAATGGGCATAAAATAGGCCGCTGCACACTTCTACACATGTGGACGATTATCATTCATGTGCAGTACAACAATTAGTCAGACATTTAGAGTATTTCAGCAATACACCACAAAATTGCACGTTTTTTAATCCAAAAATAACTGAATGCTGCTCTAAATATCCACCACTCAGCACCTCAAGTCAACCGGGGTGACTTAGGACATATTAGCACACAGATTATAAAATTTCCATGAAACCGCCTAGATGTCTGCTCTTAAACAGAAAAGCAGGATAAGCGGTAGAAATACCATCCATTGAGTTTCTCAGCTGAAATAACCGGAATATGTAAGCAAAACTTTGTACAACATTCATACCCAATCCCATAGGTGTTTAATTTCGGGACATTCAGTTTCAGATACCTGAGCTTCTCATAGGAAATCAGTATTGTTAATCTCGATTTCTCTAAACTTCAACCAACGTCATCACCGCATACCGATTCAAACTTCTTGAATGCCTGATTAAGTGTATAGAGCCGAGTAAATCTCTTCTGACAGAAAGGCACCATTTCTCTGAGAAATGTAGTCTGTATACCGATCCACACTTCAGTATCTGCTTCTGTCATAGAGTCATGTATTTCGTAGTTCACAATCCCACTGCCATATGGTGCCAAATTTGCATAAATGACACAAACACCTGCAGCATCCCATGTGTACATTGGCAGTTCAGTATCAGACAATCTATGTAGCGAAATCTACCTAGACTCGTTCTAACCCGGGACTACGTTAGGATACTACAATCCTGATTTTTGACGACTTGAGTTCAAGTTTCCCCAGGGTCACTATCACTTTGTTGGTGGCAAGCAACTTGGATATTCCCGTACACAGAAAGCACTCCAGTGTAAACTGGACATTAGAACTCCGTTTTGGATCAACGTGAGCTGCAGTCAGTGAAAACAGTTGAAAATGTCTGGGTCATTAGTAGTCAGTCGAGTGAAGATAGTGCTCTGTTCCCGGAAAAAATAGGAAATGACTCTGAGATTATCATGGTTTTATAAAACGGCTCACTTGTTGAGGCTGTTCTTCGTTATTTGCCTATTTACGTTTTGAACGTTACGAAGCTACAAAAGTACATAACGTGAAATCGTTCCGTAAAAGTCTTGTCCCAATTATGGTATTCAAACTGAGGAGTGCAACCCATCGTTTCAGAAACCTCCGTCAAGAGAATCATTCAATTCACTACACTTAGGTGCTGTTGCAAGTAAAGAAAGTTGTATTAATGAATACGAAGAAGAGAAAAAAATGTGTAGTTTTCAATGGACAAGGTTTCCGGAGGCCGTCGAGGGACAGATTTACAAGAGTGCATGACCAAGCATCATTTTAACTCACTGTGCAAACATGGCCCTAATGTTTATGTGCATAATAATGTTAAATGGACTGTGTTCGTTTTTAGTTAAACCACTTCCGTTGAACATTTTGTGCAAAAATCAAATAAATAGGGTGTGGATATACCTAACTCCCGATGTGGCATTGATACACAACTTAATTCTAGACCTTTTGACTTTCTTCACTTTTTTCCAAAAAAATGTACGACTGACATCAAGCTGTCTGTTCAACTGCACAGGACATATACAACAGCGTGCTAACCCTGAAACCGGAATGGCTTCATAATCTTCCGTGTGAATGGAACGTGCAGGTCTATTCTCCGATGGCAGTACAATGCTGCCCGGTAATTTGGCCTGACAGAAGACCAAAAATAACCCATGAGTGCTCTGACGTCAAACAAAACTCCACGAGGTCCTACGGATTCTTAAGGGTCGCACATTATAATAAAGCTAACAAGCCAGAAGACACTGGGTGGAAAAATGCGCGTCCATACAATCCTCTACAGTCCGGATTTGCACTTACAAGTATGCATTTCATTTGAATACTTCACGCAAACCTAATATAAGCCTTCAATAATTTGGTATGTAATGTTCTTCCATCACGTGTTGAGAACTTTTATGGCAGAGGCCCAAAGAAAAAGACTTCCCAGCAGAAACACAAATGACTGAATTCACGTCCATTCCACTGCAACCGAAAGAATCTTACCAGCCCACAATTAAGCCGCCACGCTCAGGAAGCTGATTTTAAGAAAAATTGAGGCCTAACAAACAGTCATGTCTGAAACCATTTAATCAGGCTCCAACAAGTTAGGTACGGGAAAGAGTGAGATGAAACTTTGCACAAGGGCATACATGCATATATTTAAAACAGACTAGCCGTTCTTATTTCCACACCTCACATTCAGGAAAGTCACCAGGTTGAACTAGAAAATGTGAGGACTGTGCTACTTGGAAATACAAGACAGTGGAGAGAACTCGTGGAAACATTGTACTGCGCAAAGAATTCAGTCCACCTTCACGTCAAAATCGACCATGTGTATGTAGGGCAACAAGCGACACATCTCCAATTCGGTGAGAACGCTGAGTCAGACTCGGCCATCAAACGAAGGATAACAGCAGGGGAACCGTAAAGTTCAAGTCAAAAACCAATCGAAAGTCCATCAACCAGAGAACGGATTAATCAAAAAGCCAATGACGAAGTTCATCCAGACGCTTAATGATCAGTCAAGGTAGACCTGCGTGATTAAGCCTTAAGTCGATCCATACAGGCGCAATGACCGCTCACATTGCACAGATATTGTTTCCGCAGTTGGTCGTGACACGCTTGCAAGCACACTACTCAAATCAGCGAACGAAACAAAGGCCATTATTGCTGCCTGAGTTGACAATATTGTCTTCATTTCAAACGTCAGGTTTTAAGAACAGCATTTTTAGGTGCCTCAATGTATTTTCTCCTTTTGCCACTCTAAAACACTTCAAAATTTCAAAATTTCTCATTAACAAACAGGTGTTTTTAGGGAATATTTGGTTACGTATTGCGACAACACTGCGATATTTCACGTCCTTGTTTTGTCGAGTTGAAAAACATTAAACCTTGTATCGCCACCTAAAGTCATACCAGGTGGACAGCATCACCCCTCTCAGCAAACACCTCCATTGCCATAGTGAGCGTTTCAAGGAACTCGCATCCGCACTGTTTGAAATTTATGGTTCAATGCTCTGACGACAAGGTGGCTACATCTACATCTACATTCGTTAGATGTGAACACCGGATGACAAATATCTCATCGACCCAAGATCGGTGGCTATATTTATATCGTCGCCACTCCATTACACAAATCCTCGTTCTGTTGCCAATGCACCCTCGATAGTTGAATCTCTAGATATTTTAAGAGCGATTGTAATGCAGTATGATATGGTCCCCTGTAGTGGCCTGGCTACCCAGTAAGTTAGTTTACCAGGAGTGTGTGGCAAAGAAATAAAAATAATAACGCTAGGTTGGGTACACAATAATAAAGAGGTCAGACAGAACGGACTCACTAACAATTGTTCTCTTTAAAATAGTTCGTCGTTGGCCCAGGTCAACGAATAAGCAATAATCCAATTATGGTGGTCCAGGGATCTTCTTCCGAACAGTTCCCACATATAATAGATATCGAAGATGGTCTGAAATGTTTTGATATCAGAGTAAGCACACGATACTCGCGAATAACCGCTGCAAACGCAACCGAAATCAGAAGAGAGAGCCGAAGCACGTGACCACGCTTGTATTCTGTGAAACTGTACAAGTGCGCGTTTTTGTAGGTTTTCGTATTCAAACAAAAACGATTTTGCAATTGACGAAATACGTAGTGATATATTGGAAGCAAAATAAAGGTACAAAACGCCACACCCCGAACGGATTCACATTATGTAACGATTTGTTTAATAGCTCAGGGCTAGTTTTGCCGTCAGTAACAACATTGCCACTGAATTCAGGTGCGCCTTTGTAATTCAGGTCATCATATCGAATAGAAAATTAAATGTTGCGACCATTAAAACCATCAAGATAAAAATAGTTTTGAAATAACTTCACCAACGTTGTTAGGTGCTTTGGATACGGAATGCACTCTGATCGATGCGACCAAGACATGTTTGTTGTATAACACCTTGGCCCAAAAGAGATATTTCAATATGATTTCAGGTAGTATGACTATATTATTTGTTTTTAGTTCAGTCATCCGCTTGTGTTCCTTATCCATTTTCCGGCCCTAAACAACAAGTCTGAATGTCAGATCCTTAGCTCCGCTCAAAAACTGGGTAGCTTCGTGTACTGAAACAAACATCTGTACGTTTAAGATGTTCTATCCTAAGAAGCATCGATAAAATGCTGCTGTCCGGTTTTTTTTTACAAAATTTATGCGTCCCAGGAGTAACCTTGTGCACACGAATCTTGTCGTATGTCTCGATTATACGTCTTAACCAATATCTCGAAGTTCTTATCATTTAGCAGTGAGGGATATTTAATGGTAAGTGACGTTTTCTCGTTGTCATTAGTCGAAACAGTCCCTCAGGCAAGCTGTCTTTACATTCGGCCTAATTATTTTATCAGTGTGACAGTTCTCTAGTTCATTTTTTATCCCAAGAAACCACTTCGATTTCTTCATTTTGTCAAGAATGGGTTCAATGCATGGAATATTCCAGTAACCAATGACTTATTTTCAATCCTACAAGGAAAAATGTACTTTGCCTCAAAGATAAGGCTGTTTTCCTTCCTGCAGTACTTCTCAACTATATTACTCGCCGTTTAGCTGCCAAATAGTTCACTAGTTACTTGGAGCGTGATGTTGTGAGATCAGGAATAACAAGATGAACACTCCCAATGCTCACTTTTGAACTCACTTCTGAACGCTGAAAGGATTATGGGGGGAATTAAATTACGCTGACATCTTCGTCTAAGTTTGGGGCATGCCCGTTCTGTCGAGTTTTCACAGTTACCCCATACTGGGTATAATAAAAAAACCATGGTCATTTCTTCTACCCCGATGAGACGCAAGGAACACAAAACGCCTCTGCATGACATTGCTTTGCCCCAGTAATATGTGAACTATCAACATTCCAACAGGGTCCACCAAAGCCTTATCACTTGGAGGTTAGTTCGGATTGGGCGCGCCATTTTCTACCATGGTGACGCCAGTGATCATGGAGTAATAAAACTGACAGCGTAAAAATTGATTACATTTGAACTCCTCAGGTTTAAAAGATATGGTAATGAATCACTGTTATGGTAACTGATTTTGATATGACGCTGAACTCACTAGTTTATCATTAAGAACTATATTTGTCCGAGGCGCTTCCGCCACAATTCACACTACTTTATCCTTTGCTCGAATGAACTTGGCGTCGCCACTATACTGTCTTTCTCATGTAAAACTCTGTTCTGTCGTTCTATAGTTACTTCTTCTGTCCAGTAGAAGGTGATGTTTACTTTAGAGGTCTTCCTTTCTAGCAGTTAAATGAAATTAGAACGTGAATGACGTTAGTGGGAAACGAATCCTTTGCGCTGAACACTTGGGAATATTGTGGGTGCTGCTGGGAATCAAGTGTTTACTGTGCTCCAGACTGTTTGCAAACAGTCAAATTTGGATATATTTCGACAGATGTGTTTCGTGTAATTCATATGGAACTCGGAACAAATAAGCAGGAACTAAGAAAAAGCTATAGCCTAAATTTTAGTGATTATCATTCACAATCAGATGAATACACCGACTTTGTTCTCCAACTAGCTACAAAAATATTTTCAAATTTTAAGGGAGCAGATGAGTTCACTGAACAGGATTTGACTATGGTCCTGATTTTTCTGTCAAGTGGGTTTATAAAGTGGCACTAGGTACAACATCATTAAATATTTATTTGAGAGTGATTCACTTCCGTTGGTTGCTTTGATAACAAATAGATCATTTGCCCAGTGAGTTCACACACGTTACACAAAAGCATTGCATGCCGTTGCCTCCAGTAGTTCCGTACGATTGGGAAAGAAAATAACTGAGATACATCTCAGTGACGATCAAGGGGAAGGCAACGCTAATTGCACCAGTTACGTGCGCATAGCTGTGAGCCCTCTGAGTGGGTTCATCAGCAGCAATATGGCTCCACGTTCTACCAGATGAAATGTAATGAAATTCTTCGAGAATTCGATTTGTCTGAGTCAACAGTCTGACAGACATAGTAATTCCTAGATCTTCCAAATTGTTGCCGGGCTTTCTTAGGTTGGTGTACCAGTAAAATGCCAGGCACCTACTGGTGTATCCTAAGGTACTCCTTTGGATATTTGGCGCTATCGTTTCCTTCTTTGCAGTGACCATAGACAGTCACAGACAAGGATTCAGCACGGTTCACCTTTGGTCTCAGGGTTTTTACACTTGGTACAGAGTGTAAATACAACTATAAAAAGTTGACTCTAAACCGCCTATTCTTTAGTAACACATTCAGAGTTTTCTAGGCCCGAGTGGGTTCATCAGCAGGGTTATGGCTCCACGTGCTACCAGATGAAATGTAATGAAATTCTTCGAGAATTCGATTTGTCTGAGTCAACAGTCTGACAGACATAGTAATTCCTAGATCTTCCAAATTGTTGCCGGGCTTTCTTAGGTTGGTGTACCAGTAAAATGCCAGGCACCTACTGGTGTATCCTAAGGTACTCCTTTGGATATTTGGCGCTATCGTTTCCTTCTTTGCAGTGACCATAGACAGTCACAGACAAGGATTCAGCACGGTTCACCTTTGGTCTCAGGGTTTTTACACTTGGTACAGAGTGTAAATACAACTATAAAAAGTTGACTCTAAACCGCCTATTCTTTAGTAACACATTCAGAGTTTTCTAGGCCCATCTACGTGGCAAACGTTGTGAAAATCCTATCTTTTGCTGCTTTAGACAACTGCAGCCAGATATATGCAGCTGCAAAACTTTGAGCACTAATGCCGAGAAAGAGGTACACTCTACAGCAGAAGTATTACTTTCAGGACAATCGTTCCATTCCCTTTC